ACTGTTGACAAGACCAACCTGTGCAGTAAGAATTGAGACCAGGAAGCAGCAGAAAGTAAAGGGGTGGATAAGATGCAAATAAGAACACTCCTAGAAAGGAGAGTGTTGCTGGCAACCCACTTTCAGGTCCCCTTTCGCTGCCAAGAGCTTTTCTTCATTTTGCTCACTCTTTGGTGTCCGTGCCCTTATTCTTCTTGGTCGTGAGACAAGAACTTGGGATTCTCCAAGCAAGAGCTGTAACTAGGAGAGCTGTGAACTGTAACACTCCTTGGAGCTCCCTGGCTGTTGGCATCCCCGAGTTTTGGGCATCACCGAGTTCCCCTTTCTGGACGCTATTGCATCCTCTGCCCCCATGTGGATCTCAGGCTGGCAGTGCAGCTTGGGAGACGGCCACACAGTTCCGTCTCCTCGATCTATTTTCATGTCTTTATGGGAGCACTACAGTCTTGATTACTGCTGGTGTTTTGCTAGGGATTGCACTAATGTGTCAGTTGAGGGAAAATGGACATAAATCTTCCCATCCAGGAATGTTTTTTCTTTCCATTTGTTTTGATCTTTGATTTCTTTAGTGGTGTTTTGTAGTTTTCGATGTAGAAGTCCTAAATAATCTGTGGCTTATTTCAAAGTTTTTTTTTTAATGCTATTGTTAATGGTAACTTTTACAAATTTTATTTTCTAATTGCTTGTTGTGAGATTTGCTGATTTTTTTTTTTTTGGCATTTATTGCTTCCAAGACACTAAGTTCTCCCAACTCCAGCAAAATGTATTTCAATTTAGTACTGAAAGAAAATGAAAGTCAGTTAAAATAAGTAAACTTTGCAACAGTAATTTTAGAACATATCTGTTCTGCTAATTAAAGGGTATTGGTATTTTCTGTACTTGATTGGTGAATGTTATCCTCAGAGTTCCCTGTTTGTAAGATTCAGCTGGCATTTTTCTGAGATTATGAGGAAATCTAGATTTTGTCTTCCTTTTTTTTTTTTTTGTTTTGTTACATAGAGATAGGGTCTCTCTCTGTTGCCCAGGCTGGAGTGCTGTGGCGAGATCATGGCTCACGGCAGCCTTGACCTTCTGGGTTCAGTCAGGCAATCCTCCTGCCTCAGCTTCCTGGGTAGCTGGGACTACAGGCATACCCTACGACACCTGGCTAATTTTGTTGTTGTTGATGCCCAGGTTGGTCTTAAACTCCTGGCTTCAAATGATACTCCTGCCTCAGCTTCCCAGGGTGCTGGGATTATAGGTATGAGCTACTGTGCCTGATTGGTGGGTGTGTGGGTGTGGGTGTGGGTGTGGGTGTGGGTGTGGGTGTGTGTGTGTGGGTGTGTGTGTATTTAATGACTGTTCCTTGTTCCTTCATTATATAGTAAGTTCCTAGAATACAGAGTACTTTAGATCATATCCGACTTCATTTGATAATTGAATGAATTTAGTGGGAATAGTTTTGTTCCCTGGAGAGGGAAGGATAGGCTAATGAGGATTAAAGGAAGCTAAGGGCAAGGAATAAACTAAGTCTTGACAACAAGAGGAAAGCAACTGGTATTTCAGGTGATAACAAGTGAGCCTGCCTCCCAAATGAAGTGTCAGAGTTAGAAATAGGAGAAAAAAGATGGGAAGGTCTGGAAGCATAGGATTAGAGGCTTGTTTTCCCACTGGCAGCAGAGAATAATGCGAGATTTTAACATGGACACCATTTTATTAGTAGCCCTTGAAGTTGAAGCTTCTCAAAAACTTGCAGTGTCTGTTATAGTTCAGCTCTAAATCATACACATATTTGGGTTGTGTTTTAATTTCTCATGGCTGCATAAACAAAATACTACAAACTTGGTGGCTTAAAACAACAGTCATTTTTTTCCTTCATGGTTCTGGAGAACAGAAGTCCAAAGTCACTACGACTAGGCTGAGATCAAGGTGTTGGCAGGGCTTCCCTCCCTTGGGAGGCTCCGGGGAGAGTCCATTTTCTGTCTTTGCCAGCTTCTGGTGGCTGCAGGCATTCCTTGGCTTGTGGCCACTTCACTCCAGTCTTCAAGGGCAGCATTTCAGATCTCTCACAGCACTGTCTTCTTATCACCTTCTCCTCCATGTTTGCCTCTTTCTTACAAGAACACTGATCACATTTGGGGCCCAACTGGATGGATATTCCAGGATGATCTCCCCACTTTAAGATCTTTAATTTAATCACACCTGTGAATTCTCTTTTAATAAGTAAAGCAGCATTGATATTAGAACTTGTTATCTTTGGGGCCTTTATCCACCTATCATAGACTGTTCTTTCCTTTTTTAGACCTTCATTTTGCGCTGGAAGGAAGTTGCTTCAGAACAGATTGGACCGAGGCTTTAAGCACCCCAAGTGACATACATATTTTCTTGTTATAATTGCCATTTGTTTAATGGAATGCATCCATTAAATGGATGTCATGGAATGGTATTAAATTCTAGGGGTGCAACAGAGTAGACTTAAAAGATGGTGAACTACTTATTTCGAATAGTAAAAAGGAAAATACCAAATTAAGGAAAGAGATTGAATTGTGCTGTGACTATAGTAGAACTGCTGTGTGACTCATAACAACATTTGGCAATAATTTTTGCTTCACTAAATCCTGGTTTTGCGGGGCTTTCTTGGTTAGGCTTGTGCATGATCAGGCCTAACCTGCTCTGTTCACTGTACCACTAGATTTTCTGTATTTGCTTACTAGAAATTATCTACCTTTTACTATTCACAATTCCATTCTGTAGCCAGAAGTTTAGAATGATTTCTCCAGGGTCTTACTTAATGCTTGCAGCACTTTGATGAAGAGTTTTCACATGCAAATGTAGCTTACATGTGTACTGGCATATTTGACTATGTTGCGTGTGATAACATTGAGTCATACCAAGCTTATCGTACAAGTCTCTTCACACAGCGTTAGAGGCGTGGGGGGAGCTAGGGAACTTCACTGCAGCCAGCGCCATCTGGGCTTTGGGATATGGCTTAGCCATCCCAACGCTGGGGAGGCCAAAACCTCAGCACGGGAATAACTTGGAGGAGGAGTGTTAGATAAATCACAGCCAAAGATGAATCGCTGAAGCCTTAGCTTCCTTTCCTTCAGTGGCTCTGTTGACGCGTTTATCTACGTGGTGGTGACGGATGAACCTGGCATAGGCAGAGAGGGAGTTTGCCGAAGGGAAAGTGGAAGCCTGGTTCTCCTCGTTTGGCCCATCATCGACCGTCCAGCATGTTTGATGCTCGCTCTGCGAAACTGGAGATCACAACAGCTTTGGCTTGGCTAGAAGAGGGTCCCTGCTAAAAGCAGGAGTCCCTGATAGAATTAAAAACTTACCTACTTGACGATCTGGATTGACTCCCTGTTACTTGACACAGTTTACTGAGAGACATTGGCCTTAGCAACTTAGATAATAAATCACATGGTACTTGTAAATTTTTGTGCTCTTTCAATATCTGTGAAGCAGTCAGTGACAGAATTTAAATGATGAATATATGAACCAACCACATTGATATGTCATGACATTTGCCTGTTTTATTGCAAAACCCTGGGGATAAAAAGTGAGAAATAAATAAAAACTGTTCTTCTTTCAAAGGAAATTCCTAAATTTACTTTCAAAATTAAAATGTATTCTTTCCTAGATAACATTTCTAGAGTAAATTGTTGGTTGAAAATTCTGGATAAATACTATCAAGTGGTTCCTTATTTACCTGAGAGTAAGTACAAATTTGCATATCCGAATATCTGCTACTGTGCCTTCCCTCCCCCCATTATTTAAGTGAGATGTCTCTAAATTGAGATAACCTTTTTGTAGAGAGTGCTGAAAAGCAATGACATGTTGATTCTTTCGGAGCCATTCGAGGAGAAGGGAATAGCCACAGAGAACACAGAAGAAGAGGCAGGAAGGAAGCAGTCCGAGTGATGCTCATTGGGTGCCTATTCAGCAAACTACATTTTCATCAGCATGTAAAAGCTGGTGAAGTGCCAGGCTGGTGCAGCGGCTTGTGCCTGTAATCCTAGCACTTTGGGAGGCTGAGGTGGGAGGATTTCTTGAGACCAGGAGTTGGAGACCAGCATAGGTAATAGAGTGAGACCCTGTCTCTACAAAGAATAAGTTAAAATTAGCTGGGTGTGGTGGTGCATGCCTGTAGTTCTAGCTTTGTGGAAGGCTGAGGCAGGAGGATTGCTTGAGCCCAGGAGTGTGAGGCTGTAGTGAGCTATGATCGTGCCACTTGCACTCCAGCCTGGGTGCCAGCCAGAGCGAGACTACATCTCTTAAAAAAAAAAAAAAAGATGAATTGGCATAAAATATTGTTTTTGACCATGTAGTTTGAAGCAATGACTGCATATTGAAAGCATTCTGAAAAATCTGTTAGACTACGAAAACTCATATAAGAAAGGCGCCTCAGTGAGTTAATTTATATTCAGATGTGTTACTGAGTTTTCCAAAGTTGTTTCTGACAAATCTGACCCGGGATAGCCAGTTTTCAATACAGGTTTGTGTCTGGGGAGGTACAATTTTTACGATGTCGAGGCTGGGGAAGACGACGAAAGGTGTTCTGTATTCATAATTGGATGTGTTGGTTTTAACTGATGCTCAGATAATCTAGTGTCCTAGGAAAAGTCCGTCTTGTAGTGACCCAAGCGCCGAGCGCGTGGGGGGGGGAAGCCCTCTCCACCGGCTCGGGGCCCCGCCCTTTTCCCGGGCTCTCGGCGCGACCGCTTGCTGTTTGTGTTCCTCACCCCCTCCAGGTAAACTGCCCATGAGACCCGTGATTCCATGAGCGGATCATCCAGGTGGTTTGTCTTGCAGGTTGAGACAGATCGTGTCGCCGGCGGGTTTCCAGCCTTTCCAGTGGTCTGGCTCACCTGGCAGTGGTCTCCTGTGCCCAGCACTGTTGTCTCCCTGCCCTGGCGTCCCAGCCTCGTCCTCACCTTCGCGCAGCGGAAGCTCAGGCGGCCCTCTCCTTGCGACCCCACTCGGCCTCCGTGTTCACCACCCCTTGTTCTTGACCGCAGCATCATCCCGACAAGCAGCGCGCAGAGGGCCCCGCAGGAGCCGCGGAGCGGAGCGCGCAGAGGTTCCTGGAGGTCGGCCGGGCGTGGAAAGTCCTGGGCAACGCCGAGGCCAGGCGCGAGTACGACCTGCGGCGCCGCGGTAGGTGCCCGGGGGAGGGGCCCGCCCGCCGGCGCCCTCCGTAGCTCCTCCCCTCCCCGCGCGCCGGCTGCCGCCTTCGCCCCGCCCCGCCTTTGTCTTTAATTACGCCCTAGTCTGCGCGGTGATTATGGTGTGTCCGCGAGGAGGTAGCTCCGCGAGTAGAATGCCGCCCTAAAAGCGGCCTTTGGTAACTGCTGGAAAACGTTTAATTACACATTTCTAATTAATATGCCTTATGTGTTTAAAAACTTCTTTTTATTAAATTTAATATGTATGCATTAAAATGTTAACGGGAGTGCTCGCAAGACCATTCTGCATAAATGCAGTCTACATGAAGATACTCTACAGGGTAACTCCATAAAGCGTTCTTTTGTCTTGGAGCTCATTTTAGGCTGAGTTCGTGACCATCTCCAGGGTAAATTATTCCTTATGAAATTGTTATCAATGAGATTTTAAGAATGCACATTACCCAAACTGTTTTAAAAGTCATTTCTTTTGTGCCTTTTAGAAAATACCTTCTTAAAACAGTGACAAACAGTTGTGAGAAAGAAAGGGAGAAATGTAGGTCAGGTTTGTCACACATGGGCTGCAGTTACACGAAGTGATAGGCTGTTTTTCAGCAGTGCCTTGGGACAGAAGTCCCCCCCCCCTTCTATGTGAGCCTTCAATATGCACCCCACATGCTAACGGGGGAAGTCAATAATCAGTTACAGCCTGTGGGGAAACACAGAGTTGCTCTCTCCAGCGGCACATCAGGCTCAGCCCCGACTAGGATGTGATGGTAAAAGCTACTGTCTCTGTAGATAGTGATCGAAACCCCGGTTGCCCTACACAGACCTCACAGGACGATTTGAAGGTTCTTGCTACTGTGATTTGAGAAGCAAAGCTTTATTTTTAATGCATTAAAAATAGCATTACAGGATAATAAAGACAATGATACTTGTAACACATCCATATTTATTTTTAGAGGCATTTGTACCAGTAGAATTCAGTATTTCTTATAGGCTGCATGTAATACCTTTGTGTGAAAAGGCTTGAACTATTTGTTTATGTATGTATGTATGTCTGTATGTATGTTTGTATTTAGAGTCAGGGTTTCACCCTGTCGCCCAGGCCAGAGGGCAGTGGCACCACCATCACAGCTTACTACAGCCTTGACCTCCTCAAGCTCAAGGAGGTGCCTCTCCCGAGTAGCAGCGACTACAGGCATGTACTACCATGCCCTGGTAATTTTTTGCTTGTTGTAGAGATGAGGTTTTGCTATGTTGGCTATGCTGGTTTCAAAGTCCTGTGCTCAAGCAGTCCTCCCACCTTGGCCTCTCAAAGTGCTGAGATTACAGGTATGAGCCATTGTGCCCAACCTTGTATTTGGTTTGTTTTTTTTTTGAGTTGGAGTCTCACTCTGTTGCCCAGACTGGAGTGCAGTGGCCGCTCCCGGCCACCGCAGCCTCCACCTGCTGGGCTCCAGCGATCCTTCTGCCTCAGCCTTCCGAGTAACCGGAATTACAGACATGCGCTACCACGCCCGGCTGATTTTTTGATTTATTGTAGAGATGAAGTCTCGCTGCCCAGGTGGGTCTCAAACCCGCGGGCTCAGGCAATCCACTCACCTCAGGCTCCCAAAGGCACGGGATTACGGGCTGAGCCACCGGGCCCGGCGTACTGTTTTTTAATAGTAGTTTATTTATAGAACTAATCAGCTCTAAAGAAGGCCTTACTACTTTTATAAAAGCTGATGAGCTAATTTTTTTTTTTTAATATTAAGAACCTGATGAGTGTACCTTTGCAAATGATTTGGATTAATTTTCACTTATGGCTAGGATATTGGGTTCTACTTCTGTTGGGTGCACCCATGAGCATTGTCTGACCTATTGACTTTGTAAATGTATTTGTACTTCTGGCAAAATAATGTAGAGGTGGCTTCATTGATGATAAGCTCTATCCATAGATATATCTTTTAAATCTTCTTTCACATGAGTATTGAAACAACACACATGAATGTGTTGTGTGTCAGAAGAAATCTATGTTCCTAAAGCCACCAGACTCTGCTGGAGGCATGACTCTCTCATGGTGTTGTTGCACATCTTTGCTAGTCTTTACTGTGTGGAGTGCCAGTTTGCTTAAGATAAGAGTAACTCACACAAAACTGTGCCCCAAAGAGTATAGGGTATGCACATTTTTGTCATGCCACAGCTTGTGTACTATTAAGACCATATCAGTGAAATTGACTGTCCAAAGAGAAAGAGGTAGGGAGGGATCAGGAATCATAAACTATTCTTTTAAGCTATAGGGTGGAGCAGGCAAGCATTGGAAAGAAATAGGAAACGGCTGAAAAGTGAGCATGGAGTTGCATGATGGGAGCCTTCAGAAATGTTAGAAGAGGAAATAATCAACATATTCAAGCCTTTCTCATTGTCTTTGAGAAGTCCTTGGAACTGTGGATTTCTTTTGAGCTCTGAGCCCTTGGTGTTAAGCCCTTAATGGATGCACCTGTGGCCTGCCTGTATCACAGGGGACTCTTGTTGGTCATTGATGAGGTCACAGTGAAATTCAGGCAAACCAAAGAAGTGAGAGTTGGGCCCGATTAACGATTCAGATAAATAGCTTGGGATTTCTGTAATATCAGTTTGCTCTGCAAGTTTTTCAGGTGGCTGATTACTGAATCAAACTTTTCTAGAAGGACAGTAGAAATACAACTTTTCATGACACTTTAGTACCTCAGATCTAAGTACTAAATATTTCCTCCTTCACCAGAGAGTCCAAATCTGTTTTAATTTTAAATGGAGCTTGGCCTACTGTTTAGATAAGAGTATCCAAATATAACTTGTTTTTAGCCTTTCCATACCAGAGCTGTTTTCTAAAAAAAAGTCTCATAATCTACTTTGATATTGTTCTTTCTTTTGAATACTGATATTAATTTTTTCTTCTTGATTCATCTTCAATAAGTAGCTCTTCAACAAAAGGAAATGAACTTGAACTTCTGGCAGTGAAGAGTTAGATTTGATAGAAGAAAAACCTTTGAGAGTGATAATTTGTTAAAGACTAGGATAGGTTACCGAGAGAGAGGGAGTTTGTTATAACCAGGTCAAAGCACTCTTTTTCTGGGTCACCCCCTGGGGGCATGGAAGAGCTTTGTTATACAGAACTACTTTTGCACGTGGCATAGTTCGTTGTAAAACTTTATTTTCATAGGGTATGCTTTAAATATGTTTGTTTCCTGCCCACCATTAACTTGCAGTATAACATGAATTTGAGCTCTGAAATACTTGGGAAGGAGGGAGGAAATGGCTGATCTTGAGTGCTTTCTTCTGTTTCACAGCTCCAAGTTGGTGCTTGGTGTGAGTAAAGTCTCATCAGTATGCCCACAGCCATATATTTATCTAAAAGATCGTTTCCAGGCATCCTTAGCATCCATGTTTCTTTGCTTTTTAAAAGAAGTTATCAAATGAATTATCCCTAATAAAGAAAAAGTGATCGTCTAGGGTAAGTCACCTAAAGTGTATGGCACATACATTTTTTTCCAACCTCATTTCTACTTCTGTATTCTTAGTTGACATTTTAGGGCAGTGTTGGCTGAAGAAGAGCAAATCTAAGAAGAGGATGAGTAATAATCAGTTCCCAGAGATTATACATTTTGAAAGCAATGCTGACTAGTGAACTTAATCAATTAGTTCCAGTTGGCATATTTACCTTATTGTTTCTAAGGCTGCTTCCAGTGTTCCCCTGAAAGGCATGTAGTTATTCAAGACCAGGCTTTGCATTTCAACCAGATAAGCACTTTGGAAAACCACTTCAGGATTTATAAAATGTTCACATGAATAATATTGAATAGACTTTGGTGCCTTTAAAAATCTTGTGGGGAGTTTTCTCGTATATTAAGCACATTAAAAACACATCAGAAGTATATCATGGGAAGATAATAGAGATCATGATTCAATAGCTTTGTAATGTGACAGTCACACAGATCTCTGGTGTCTCAGTGGCTCTCCAGAGTGACACAGCTTATGAGTTAAGTTACTTCTCTGTGACCTGAAGAGTAACAAATCTTCAAATAAAGTTAATCAGATTAATGATGTTTAAAAAAGATGTGTTCAGAATCCTTGCTGATGTATTACTTTATGTTAGATATAGCTTGGTTCTCTGTTAGAGAGTTATTTTAGCAGTGTGGAACCTTCACTCCACACATTTGACCTAGTACTTGGATACCCCAAACAGCCTGGTTCAGAAGGGGGCTGGGCGGGCGCCTTTGCTCAAAGCTAATCAGCTCCTTTCCTTAGCGGGATCCAGGAGGTCATTTCCGGCTTTGATTACACAATTCACTTTGCCCCTTTGTTTCTTTATTGGGATAAATATTTGGGGGTAGAAGATCATCAAATGAATCTTGAACCAAATGAGGAACATATCTTCCAACCCCACTAGTGTTTATGTTTCAGACAGCTCAATCAACAAGTAATTTCTTAACCTCAAAATAGTATCCTTCATGAAAGGCAGGATCATGTTAAAGACACAACTCCTTAAGAAGGGAAGCAATATACTTTTAAACGTAGATAACATAAATTTGGGTTAACTGTTAGGAATAATGGCTTTTGGCCAGTAGGTATTTGTGTAACTATGTCCTAAAACTGACCCTTACAAAAATACTTGAATTAGTGGGATTTGGGTTTCCATTTATGGTCATATTAGTTTGTCATTTGATTTTAGGAATTTCAAGATTGGCTGTAAAAATTTGCTTCAGGTGAAACTGGAAGATAAGCGGCAAGCAGGGTGTTTTTTGGTGACTGTTGCTGAGAAAAGTCAATATGTGAGATGATGCGGAAAATGCATCTGGACAGTTGGGGCCCAGCTTTATCTCGGGAGGGAGGAGAGAGGGTGGACCAGACTTGCTGCGAGGGCCCCCACCTCAGCTTACTTGTCACAAGGTGGCCACTCACATTCTTTGCTACCTGTGCTTGAATGCAAACGACTGTTTTTGCAACAAAAATGTATCTTAAGCACATTCT